ACACTTTAAAAAACTCTGAAAATGGAATACGAAAGGTGGATTCTTGATTCTCGATGTCAAACTTTTGGTGTCGATCATTCGATTTCATCCTGGACACTACAGAAAATGGGCTTAAAGTGTAAAAAACCGAACTTCTCCTTTAAGCAGCTGGTTCTGCTGCTATTGGACCAAGTCTTTGTAAGGATTAGAGACGCTGTGCAGGTTTGGGTCGGGCTCCAGGCTGAGTTTATAAACCCCCAGTGTTTATAAACTCTGAACGCAGCTCAGTGAGCAGCGCTGACCCAGAAGAGTCTGACAGGCTGCTGCTGCCATCAGCTTCAGACCCGTTGGACCAGAACCACGGCGGCTGGCACCGGATCATCACATCATGACCATTTTTGGTCGCTGCCTCCTTTCCAAGAAATGATGTGATTTGGTTGCCAGGGTTACGAGGAGAACTGAGAGGTGAAGGCTGGGGGGACGTGTGCAGCAAAGGTCCAGAGTTTGGGTTCTGACCCGTTTACCGAGGCCTCGGTCTTTGGTAAACGGCTCAGGGGTTCTACCCATCGCCTTCCCCGTTTGGGTCGGCCCAGCCGGATCCGGATCAGTCTGATCTTTCTGTTTGATCCGATCCTCTTTTATTAAAATCCGAATGAAAGCCTTCAGAGAACCTTTGACCAAGAACCTCCATAAAGCTGGACCGGAACCATAAACACACCTGGATCTGGATCAGAACTTTCTGCAGAACACTGTGAGCCTCAAACATGCAGCAGGTGAGCTAGTGGAGTGAAAGGTTCCACTGAGAACCAGGACCCAGCTAAGGGAAGTGTGCAGCGTGTTCCCATGGCAACCACAGGATATGGCTTTACTCTGATACGGAGATCAGCTGCATTGGTTCTCTGTGAAGGAGTGGGGAGTATCTACAGGGGCCCGGGGACCAGAACCGAACCAGCGTTCCCAAACCGGAACAGATCCACAGGAAACGGTTCTGTTCCCTGAGCAACAGGACGGGCTTCATGCAGAACCCGTCCCGCTGATGTCATCGCCATGGACACCAGGTGGACATGCAGGACATTTCTCCAGTGGACTGTTTGGGAACCGGACAGACTGACGGAAAGACGTCCAGAATAAACACAAAGGTGAGAAAATGCATTAGATCCAAAATGTCCGCCGCCAGACGCTCAGTCCTCCACAGGAAGCTGTGGTTCCGGTCAGACGCCGAGGAGACGACGAGCGGACAGGAGGACGGGTTCTCCAGCAGAACCATCCTTCATCTCAACCAGTCAGGGCGGTTTCCATGGTAGCAGCAGAGAGCATGGCGGATCCGTGAAGAAACCAGGACAGCTTAGTGGACTCCAACCAGAACCCATCGCCATCCCAGAATAATCTAGAACCTTTTTACTGGGAATACTGCCGCCATTTTGTTTCAGCTGCATTTATTTTGAACAATAAAAAAGGAGCAGAAGGATCCATTTATAACTTCTGTTTTTTAAAATAAATATGTTTCTGTTAATTGTTTTAATTGGACCTTTCCGTCTCCTTTAATAAAAAATATGAATCCGTTGTAAAAAAAAAATAAAAATATTCAAGCCGATTAATTTTGCTTCCCAAATAAAGATTAATTAAAATTGATACTCATTGAAGAATTGATATTTCTATTCTTTTACTAGCTTGAAGATTTGATTCTATAATTCTTATAAAAATAAATACAAGCATTTTATGGTGTGCTAATGCTAATGCTAGCATGCTCATGTTTAAGATACATTTATTTTTCTATCATATTTTAAAACAAAGTTGCGTAATATGTTTCAGCGTCACACAGCAATGCTAACAGCAGGATGCTAACGATAACTGCCAGGAGGAAAACGCAGTGGCGGACTAACCCCCGATAAATCGGCCGTTTCTCTCATTAGAAGCTTCTTTTTTCTGGATTTACAGAAAATATTGATCTGAATATAAAAAAGTTTGCAATGAGGGAGAAATGCTTTATCCGCTGTTCCTCGGATACAAATCCTGATCTGCGATAAATTATGGAGAAACGTGCTGTTATTAGCCAGCCTTGCTAACCATGTTAGCCTGTTTGGCTGAGGTCGTTAACAGGCGCCGTTAGCTTTGACGTAAACCCCAGAGGTTCTTCCTGCTTCCCTGATAAACTAAAAGCAGAAAAACATGGTTTTATATTTTCTGCTGAATCTCAGCTGCTTTTATGCGATGTGACATTTTTACAGTTGTGCTTGAAAGTTTACATACCCCCCCATTAAAGTCAATGATAAGTAAAAGAACACAAAACCAAAAAAGTTATAAAAATACAAATGTACTAAATTATAATTTAGTCAAATAAAAATTTGATTAAGTAAAACAATAATTCTAAAAAGAACAGAAAATCAGAAAGCAGCCGATGAAGCTAAATCAGAAGGGGCGGGGCTTGTTTCAATAAGCTGTTTAATGAACACTGGAAACTCTGAGTTTTCTGTTTCACAGTTTCCTCATCCTCTGTTTCTGTTGCCATGGTAACACCCTCCCAGAGCTAACCTGCTTTCCTTCAGTAAACTCAGGGTCCTCTGTCTCTCTCTCCTTACAGCCAATCACGCTGCTTGATTTCCTCATTTAGTTTAGGGGGGTGTGTCCTAGTTTTGTGCATAAAAAATATATAATTCTCCAGGTCCTTTAGACACATTAGGTTTTAAAAACAAACATTGCACGTCTGTTTGACGAGGATCTTATTAAAGAATGATCGGCATTAATTCTCAGAGAATTAAATATTTATAGGGAGATATTTCCGTAACAATTCAAAAAATA